ATCTCGCTGGAGCATAACGAATTCAAAAATAGTCCCAAGCTGTTCCTCAACTGCACAGAGGGGCCGCAGGTATTTTCTGAGTGAATTGTGAACTCATGAGTTCATAAGAGCTCGGACCTTTAAGATCCTTTAAGTAGAGATGTCAATATTTCACGATTCGTATCTCACTTCAAAGTGAGCGATTCGCTTTCACGATTCGTATCGCACTAAATTGGGCACGTCCTTGGTCATTTTCTGGGTCCACGATTCAATGGACTGATGGAACATGATGGAACCAATTGCCAAAGATCAAACATGCTGAGACTATTTCAGAATTGGTTGAAACCACCTAGAAATCACCCAGCAATGATGCTGATGGCACCTGGAAAGTCCACCATGCGATGATCAGCAGTCCCTTTGGTCCGAGTTTTTTTTTTCATGTTTTCGCATCCCTTATCCCCTATGTATCCCCTATTTATCCATTCTTTATCCATTATTTATCCCCTATTTATCCCCTATTATATCCATTATTAATGGCCATTATTTAAATCGATTTAATGATCCACCTTCATCCAAGAGATCGCGAGGAAAGACTTGGTGGAGGGACTCATGGAACGCTCGCCGGTGAGTCGACTTGATGCCACTAGCGCTTTGGCCCACGACTTCGTCCAGCAGGTAGGGGCAGGTCGACGTCGTTTGATTCATATTCACATAGAAAATATTGATGTACCCAGGAGGTATATGTTCTATGATGTTATAGTTATATGGATGTTATAGTATGTTATAGTATGTTATAGTTGTTAGTTGTTCTTTTCTTTAGAAAAGATGGTTAAACTATATATGTTAAGCTCCTATTTTAGTACATAAACTGTTTGCAGTGACCCATTGCCGCGGCAGATTTTCAGGCCGTGATTGTGCCCCATGCACCACCTGGTGATCCCAATGCACGCTCGCAGCGCTTGCGACAACGCTTCGTGAAGATGCTTGGCGAACATCGCTGACCGCTCGCAAATCCCAGAGAAATGAAGGTTATAGGCTTTAATTGTCGGACAAACCCATCTAAAAAATGTGAGGTGCCAAAATGAAAACACAAAAAGATATAGAAAAACATGTTTGACTACCTGAGGGTATGAAGGCTTTCACTATGTTTCTTATTGATGATGTGTCACTTGTGCAATGGGGTGATTGTCACGAATTTGGAGAGATCATTGTAATGCACATAATACACCTTGGGCATTGGATTGAGACTCTGGTACTGCCTGGTACCTTAAACAAATTAGATCAATCATAGACAATGCCGCAAGCCCAATAGGAAACCACACCTCTTTGACCGGAAGGCACGGGTATTCAAGACATTTCAAGACCATACCCTGAAAAAATTGAGAACGGTTCAACTTCATGGATTTACCATGGGTTTACCATGGTTTACCATGGGTTTACCATGATTTACAATGGATTTACCATGATTTACCATGGGTTTGCCATGGTCATGGTAGCGGCTTTCCACAGCATTGTGATGCCATTTGAGGATGCTTCCTGGCGAGTCTCCTGCTTCTCGGCCAAGATCACCGGCGCTGGATGATGTTGGGGACATGACCCGAACATTACCTGCTTAATCCCTATTGCAGACATGTCATTACTGACAGAAATTTTCATAAATCGACTTTTTCCAGGTGTAGTCTATCACAACTATTGTGAAGTTGTGTAGCCTAAGTCATACTGAAGGGCTATCAGCACTGCCAGTGTTTCCACCCGTGGATCTTGGGGCCTTAAGATGTCTTAAGGCCGCGGCCGAGGGCGAGGACAACTCTACTCAGGCCGAGCTGCAGGGTCATCATTACACAATATAAATATACGTGCATGCTGCATATATATATATATATACACATTAAAATAAAATATAACATTGTGGATATACTATGTTCTATTCTTTTATATTTTATTATATTATATATTTTCTATATTATATATTATATATACACCACCAAATATCCAGCCCTACTCTTGGTTTACCCGGTAGCCACTGCGCGAATGCAGCAAGATCTCACCGCAGGAGATCTCACCGCCCAAGAGTCTGGATCCCAGAAGATGGTATCATATGATGATATGGATGATATGGAATATCCATGATGATGATATGATGATATGATATATGATGGTATGATATATGATGATGATAAGGAAATATCCATGATGGCGTGAAATGCATGGACATTGCACCACAAGATGGGTGGAAACGAAGCGATTTCTGAAGCGATGTTCTGCAGTTTGCTGGTCGAGCGATGTCAAAAGTCAAAGTGACAAGTTTGGGTTTTGCCGCCCCTTATTTCGAGAAGCACCCGTTCATAGTTGGTTCCATCACCATCCCCTTTGTTGGATGAGCTCCTTATCATTGTACACATTTCTTGGTTTTCCTATGTTTTCCCCCAATTTTCTACGCACATTGCCGGCCCTGTTATCTCCCCCATCCCGGTCAACCTCGGGCGGCGCAGGTGCGGCGTCAGATTGGAAACTGAGCTTTTCGGAGCACGGTCGCCATGAAGCCCTGGTCTATCGCCGTCGCTACCTCTTCAGCAGTGGCACCACCAAGATGCTTGGCGGGAGTCCGTCAATGCTGGGAAAATGATGAAAAAAAAAGACGAAGCAGAAATTTGCGGTGGAGATTTTCTTAGGTATTTGATTATATAGATTATATAAGTGATTGGGATATGTTTAATGCAGTTGAATCATATAGACCGGAATATGAGGTGGTGTATGGACCTAATATAGACATGTATATAGACAGACAAAGCGAAACTATGGATGGGATTTTCCCAAATCCGTAGCAATCTGATTCTATCTCCAGTATTTGATGACTGATCTATTTATTTTAGTTTTTTTTCGTATTTCTATCTTTCTGTTTATCCATCCATCGATGTAATCTCTACCTAGACCGTCCAAGAACCTACCAAAAAATGGTTGGTTACCCTCATGTAGTATTTTTTGCCAATCTTTCTAGGATCAAAAAACATGGCATTTGGAAATCAACCATTTTCCCAGCTAGAAACCTCCGTTTATATCCAGGAGGGTCCTAGGATCAGATCGGCCCACATTTTCTCAATTCCTTCCGTGCCGATCTGAGGAGCTTCCTTCAGATTATTCCCTTTTCCGAGATCAAGGATCTGCAGGAGACCAGTCACACCATCTGGCAAACCTTGGAGATCCTCGGTGTTTGTGGGAGCTGTAAAGAGGAGCCAGATGAGCACTTGGCAGTTGACACTGGTTCGTGATTGATTGCCATGTGTATATTATTATATATATATATATGTGTGTGTACATACATATACACACACATATATATATATGTATAAATGTATAAATGTATACGCATTGTCAAGATTTATTGGGGGTTCAATGGGTCTACTATGGTCTACTTACATGGTTTATTGGGGCTTGTGAATCCATCCCTTTTATGGGAACCCCACTGTCAATCCACAGGAAAAATTAGGAAACCCCCTGATCTATCCCAGAACAAAAGCGGAGTTCACGCAGAAGTAGCTGGCAGTGGTTGCACTCATCCATTTATCCGTGGAAGTTTTGCAACATGTTCACCCATTCATACTCTTTCAAGTAATGTCTAATCATACCCTGAGGGCTAACCATGGATAATCCATGTTTGTTTCCATTTCAAATAGTGATAGAATACCGCTCAAATTCGTTTACTACGGTGGATGGAAGAAATCCTGCACCACCTTGGATGGCTGAAACCCTATAAATAATGGGATAAACCACCGTTTTCAACTGGTGCAGGATTTCTTCCATCCACAGTATCAGTTACCCTCTGGTAAACTAACATAGCAATTGAACATGGCAATTTATAGTGGATTTTCCCATTAAAAATGGTGATTTTCCATGATTTTCCATTGCTATGTTAGTTCACCAGAGGTTCATTTTTTACCACTGAGGTTAGATGGATGCCTGCAAGTCCCGCTGGACGGCCTAGACGCAACAGCTGAGCCCTACTCTCCGCCACAGCCCAAGATGCGACCGCTTCGTGGTGAAATGCCCAGTTTTTGTTGGTGAAATTTGTGAAATCCTCATGTTTGGTGAAACTCCCGCAACTCAACTGCCAAAGTCACCCTTTGAGCTGAGTTAGCAATCTTTGGCTGAAAACCTGGATATTGCGGTGGAAGCTTCCCCCTCCAAGGGCAATGTTGCCATTGGAACCGGCAAACCTGGCAGCGATGATGGGTCAATCTGCGCTGAAGCAAGGACACCCAGAGCCGTTGCGGCACAGGAACTTCCATGGAACTTCCATGAGATGAGTGACCTACAGAAGTAGAATGTCAGAATGTCTTAAATTTTTAAATGATATTAAAAGTAGGCTCAGGGTCCCACATGGTCCCACCATGTTCCACCCCTTCGGCCTAAAGTTCATCTCGTAATTCATGGTTAAATGACGTCAAACGAAATCAAACGAACATTGGCGGGAAGCCTTATTTCATGTGCAAAACTTGATGAAATGAGCATATACATATACACATATACATATTGCATGACAGTATCTTGATGGTGGTCGGTTTTCTGAAGCCCTCAGTCCCACCAATTTGTTCTGCAGCCTCAGGCCTCCAAACGAGCGAATCACCACAGGGATGCTACGCCACTTGGCTCGAAGGGGAAGTGGCAGAAAACTGCAAATTCTCCAGAACACGGGGTACCCCTAAATCCATTGGTTAATCATAGTGTTTGCATATCTTTCCATTTTCTCTCTAAACATTGGCATTTGCATTTTCTCTGAGACACTCCTCCTCATCATCATCATCATCATAATCATAATCGACTCATTTTTCACAGGGTCCAGCCACTGTACCGAAACCGCGCCGCACCATCTTGCGGCGCAAAGCCATGCGTTTTTCCCCTCTGCAGGCACTCCAGATTTGCCGCCAATGCACCGAGCAAATTCCAATGGCAGTGCCAAAATACTTCGGATCGACAGCACCTCTCTCTCTCCAGCAGCAAGGGGTTTGAAGCCTAGAGAGTCGCAGTCTCCTGCAGTTCAATTGGCTTTGTCCGAGTGAATCGGCCCAATTCCATCCACTCTATGAAATCATCATCTTCTTCACTGTTCTTCAATAAACTGACCATAAATTGTGGGTAAATCCTGGGTAGACCCATCATGACACACCCATCCCAATTCCGACGCACCCAAGGTCAGTACGAAGGAGATGATTCATCGGGGGCCAGGCGTGACGGGTTACTCCACCTTGATCATGTTTGATCTGTTGAATCTATTGTGATGGAATGATTCATTGATCATTGCTTTATTTCTGAAGACTGATGAATATAGAATCACTTGGTGAATGATGAATCAATATGACGATTCAATGACAATTCAACAGTGAAGTAGTGATTCTATGATATTCTATGTGCATTAATTTTCTACCATGACATGTGTTCTGGGATGTTTGATATATATCATATATATCATATATCGGTATATCCATTGCAGAACCATGTCCCGCGTCAGGGGACAACCCACCTGGTGGATGCCATCTCAAGCGCCGAAAAACTCGGGCGAGAAGGCGCTGGTGGTTAGGATGGTGTGGAAAGGTCATGCCCACATATGGATACATATGGTATATAAAATGCGAGTGACTTGGTCTCTGAAAAAATGGAACTTTGTCCCATTTTGTCCCCATGAAATCAGCTACCAGGTACTACCAGGTAGTGTACCTTAAAGCCCTTTGAAACCAGGCCTCAATGGTGTCTTGAAAACCGCACAGGTCTCTAGGGATATGTTTGGCACCTGCGCCTTTTCACAAAGCAACGAAGATGGGCAACGCCGGCGCTTCGTGAAAAAGCTTGGCATGGGCGAGGAGCGAAGTCCAGGGGCCGCAGATGTTTCAAAGATGGCGATACCAGGTGCATATATTTGGAACATTTTGGAACCAGATGCACACACACAGATATATGATATATATATATATAGGTCATTCATCATATATTTTTGTATCTACGTCTCACATGTGCCAAAAGTGCGGTTTTTCGGCCCAATTTGACAGAGAAAAACGTTTTCGTGGCAGGAGGAAGAAGATTTTGATGACACCGCCTCGTGGCAATCCTGGAGGTCAGCGTTCGCAGTAGATCCAGTGGATCCAGTGGATAGGGCGACCAACTCATTTTTTTGGGGGAGGAAATACCCTCTGGTAAACTAACATAACTATGGAAAGATCCACCATTTTTCATGGGAAAATCCACTATAAATCACCATTTTCAATAGCTATGTGACAAATTACCAGAGGGTATCTAAGGCTAGGAAGGAGAAAGGGAGTAATTACGGGTTGTGAATCTACGAAAGAACATCAAGCGATTGGAGTATTCGATTCTGATCTACTTGGTGATGATCACCTAGGCTATGAATTCTGTATTGTGCCTACGTTTAGCTTTGACAACGTCCCTCCCTAAAGTGATCATCTGGGATCATAAAGTGAGGTACTGTGCCGCCAAATTTAATTTGGGATGCTATAAATATATATATATGCATAATTTATATTACAGTATATAATGAATTTGTACAAGTTTGGCCTCCTCATTTATAAGTGGATCTATGCAAATAACTGGATAAGTCCCATAAATCCCCACCTTGTAGGTTTTGTGGTGGCTCCTAGCGTCCCAGCGTCCCAGCGTCTCCGGCGTCTCCGGCGCAGGTCTGAGGCAATGCTTTCCAGTGCCAGTCGTAACAGCCGTGGCCGCAGTGGAAGCATGGCCAGTTGCAGCTAGGCCCTGCCAGATTGGTTTACATTTTGAACTTACCTTAAAATGTGGCAAACCGCCACAAACCAACCATCATTTTTCACCATCCCCAAGTCGTCACCATATTTTTATGGATGCGAAAAAAAAAACGTCCCCTTTTTTCATAGGTTTAGCATAGGGGAAACCCCACATTACAAGATGTGATTCTTGTATACTATCGTGACTCACGAAAAAAACTGGGGACTTTTTAAATTTAATAGTTTAACTACCGACATCTACCGAAAATTCCACAGAAACTGGGTATGTCAAGATATTTTAACTCACCAAAACGCGAAAAACAACTGGGGATTTGAAGATTTGGACATATTTTTTTAACTCAAAGAAATGGGAACTTCACCAGGAAAAAAAACAAACGTTTTTTTTGATGGGATTCCACCAGCCAGAATAGGGAATAAATAATTTTAAAACCAGCAAGTTTGGGGCTATAGCGTACCTTATTCCGGGGATTTAAGCGAGAAAAACCATGGATGGACAGCCTAGCATTTGGCCAACGGGCAGAAGCGTGCTCTTATCGGGGCAACAAACAATGACTTGGCCAACTGGAGTGGGATGAAAAATGAGTTGAGCAAACACATTTTGGGAATTCAACAACCAACATGAACCAACATTGAGACTTAACAGACAGGAATGCGAATCTAATCTAGAAAAAATGGAGCTTTGCCCGCACAATTTTAGTTTATTATTGTTGATTAAAGATTATTTCAGCAAGGGATTTTTTTCAGCAGCAAGAGTCTGGATATGTCTGGATGAAACCAACACTGTCTGTGGTGGTTGTTAGCATTGGATGACCATCCCATCTGGTTCATGCCTGGCCGAGGTATCAGTAATGCCAGTGCTGCAGCCATGAGAGAACTTCTACTGGCCCAGAGCAAGCTGGATGCAGAACATACCTAATTCATATGTCAAAAGTATTTTTGGATGATCAAGACCCAGGCTTGTTTAAGTATTTTACTGGTCTCAAGACTAAGGAGAGAGAGAGAGAGAGAACATGTCCTTAATTTTCAGCAGATTATTTTTAGGTGATGGCGAACCTTTGGGGGTTTCACAGCTCAAGATATTGGTAGACAGCCCGGCTGTGAAATGACGTTGAGTCGAACATGATCCCCATATGATCCCCTAATGGAAATGGAACATGGTGGACCAGTAAACGCTCTTTGAAATTGTCTGAGCAGATGAAGAGGCATCACATATTCGTATATCAGATTTATGTAGATTTCATATGTTTTCATTGGTTTTATATGGGGTTTTTCTATCTAATCATTCCTGGTTTGCTTCAAAAATGGCTAGCCCATGGGGTGTTCTCGTCGTGTCCAGGTGAAGATGAAAGTGACCGCGACTTCGACGGCTTTGGCCCTCCGGCGGGCCCCATGCTCTCCCACAGGTGGGACCCTGTGGGATCCACCTTGCCTTAATAACCCACCGGGGGTGCAACAAAAAACACCTATTTAGGCCATGTTCATCAGTCCTTGGGGATGGTTTTATGATGGTTCTTAATATGGGATGAAACCTGATGTTGAAATTTTCTAAACACCACATTAAACCAATTCACGGACAATAACAACTGTAGCCTCCAGCAACCACCAATCTTAAGAATAGAACATGGAAATGATATGAGACCGTTGCCATTCTGCTTGATCCCCAAACATCCCTACATAAACATCCCCGAGTTCCGGCGATGAGATCGAGGAACATATCATCCCTCAAGCCGTCGAACCCCTTCATGATATTGATCCCAAAAGAAGATAAAAGAAGGAGAGAAGAGACGACCATGGAAGAATTCCCTCCAAAGCTTCGTGTGTGAAAAAGAACCCTGTCTTTTCTTACAGGAACCAACCTGTTATAACCTGTTGAGGGTGCCATCCATTTGAAGGTGGAGGATCCCATTGCAAGACTGAATTGGTTAGCCGGTTAGGTGTCCTCAAGCAGCAATGGTAAATCCGTATCAATGGAGAATTTCAATGGTCTTAGAGTCTTATTATATGAGTTAATTAATGATTTAATCATGGATATGAATGGTAAGAACCCTTCATCAATATTTAAGTCAGCCAGCTTTGATGACACCGGAGGGTACCGTTTCGGTTTACCCTCTGGTAATTTAACATAGCTATTGAAAATCACAATTTTTAATGGGAAAATCCACTATAAATGGTCATTTTCAATAGCTATGTTAGTTTACCAGAGGGTATCTTTACCACCAGCCAGACCAAATCCTGTCGCCAGGGGCAGCGGTATCCGTGGATCTTCCCCTCACTTGACAGTTCCATCGGACCGGTGTGGTGGGTTGGGACTTCACCGGTTGCGATGTAACTTGGAAAGTCCGACTATGAATGAAAGTTGCTTAAAAAAATGTCCAATCTTATCCATGTTATATCATTTTATCCATTTCAAGCTGAACATATTTGAATTATTTGAAAATATCATTCTCAATAACCGTTACCAGGTGATGTGTCCCTGTTTTTGTGGCCGCAGCCCCCTACCAGGAATCCTCGCGGAGACAGATCTTGTCCCCGACGCAGCCAGTGCCACCAGCACGGGACTGGGGAACTTGCCAATTCAAAAAGGCCTGGCACAGCTTGAGAAACACCATCTTTGGTTGTGAGAATTGTTTTTTTTCCATGACCATGGGCACCCAAAAATCCAGTGGTTTATAATGGTTTACATGTATGATGATGTTCATCATTCAATGGCCGCAACTGGCACCAACCCCAGAATTGAAGGGGAAACCTGCGGGAAATGAAGAGATTTGGTGGCTTAATGGCTGAATGCATGGTTTCCGGTAGTTTTTCTTCAAATCAGTATACCAAGCTTAGTATTGTCATTTGTTGGCTATAATTCCAGTTGTTTTGTTGCTTAAAAAGGATTGAATCTTGATTTTCTCATTTGTTTTCCTTTTCGGACTGAATCTTTTCTGCCCCAGGAAGTGGGGCCTGGTGGCCGCGGGCGCCAGAAGGCCAGAAGATTTCAGGGACTGTAAGGGTAAGGAGTTTAAATCCTTTGATTTATGAATTTATGTTCCTTCAGCTCATGATGATGACTGATGGAGTTGATCTTCCAGGAGACTTTTTGGTAAGATTAGGATAGATTAAGGATCTTTTTTTAGTTTATTTTTTTTGAACAGCGACCCTGGGTACCATTGGCTGGTAGCTTCTCATGTGATCTCACCAGGTTGGGAGGTAGAACGACCCCACCGTCCGTGGTGATCCGCGTTTTGTCGCCCCTTCCTCCATTTTATATATGGGATGTCATCCTTCCCATTGACGAACCCCATCATTTTAAACACATTCTTCCCTTCGTTCTTCCTTCCCTTGTTTCCTTTTGCTTTCATGCCTTTCTTCCCTTCTTCCTTTATTCTGTCCACTGTTTGTTTTTCTTTTCATCTTCTTTTCTTCCTTTTTTCTTCCCTTTATTCCTTTCTTTCCTTCTTCGAAACCTTGGAAACCTTGGCATTCTTTGGAAATGGTGCTAACTAAGATACAAATTCAGCAGTAGTGGTCACTGGTCCTTTTTGGGATCCAGAAAAACAGCACTGAGAAAAACCACACGTCACCATTTAGTACCAGCACCAATTTTTCATAGGATACCAAATTATTTTAAGGGAAGGTTGTCGCAAGTTAGTAGCATCCTGCTTTAAGCAGTATGCGACTTTCATCATTAGCTACAAACCCCGTTTCCTCAGCCACTTGACGAATCGATGTAGTTTGCGTGGGGTTGTTCACTTCAAAAGGCATAGGGATAATGATTAACGGGTCCTGATATGGGGGCCAAGTTCTCAGAAGGGTTGAATCCCCTAGCAATGAGAAGCCCTTTATGACGAGTCGCTAGGCGTCCATCGTTTTGACACGTTGATGATGATGATGATGATGATGACGATGATGATGACGATGATGAGATCATAGTTGATAATGATAATTGATGATAGTTGATGATTTACATATCAACACCTGGCGTATATATAGTTTGACGCAATGTCAACCTCCGATCATGTTGACACGTTTTATGATCATGCCATGTCTATGACTCTATGTGTTTGATGTTTTGATGAGTCTGTTTGATAGCTGTCAATATTTGATACCTGACACTCATGTTTGACAGACCCACAAGAGGCTGTTCGAATTTGCATCCTGCAGATAGTTAATGCGGTAGCATGCTGTAGCATGTCTTGAACGCGCGTCGAGTTGTTGTTGCTGGTATTTTGATACTGCTGGTGCATTGTTAATCATTTTTAAATATTTTTACCCTCTTGTTATTTGACATAGCCATGGAAAATGTCCCATTTATAGATGGTTTACCTATTAAAAATGGTGATTTTCCATGGCTATGTTAAATAACCAGATGGTAAATGAAGTCTTTGAATTGCATTTAGCAATCGTTGATCCACAGGATCTGCGCATCAATCCATATGATAAATGAGTCATATCATATCTATCACAAAAAGTCGGAGAAGGCCATATTTTGTATAACTGTGGTTTCCCCCCCAAAAAAAAACCTTCACTCCAATGAAAACCACCTGAAGTTTTTTCTGTATGGCATATCTTTGATATATCTCCCATTAACCCATGAAATCCCACCAGGTGCGACCCCTTGGTCCCGCGGGGCAGCAGTTGGGCCTGCCAGGGGGAGAGGACTCCTGGGAATTTCTGGGAATCCTGGGAGGTGGATGCTTATTTATTTATACTATTTATTTAGGATTATACACACACACTTATTTATATATATATATATTTATTTATTTATATATTATATTATATGGACTATATAGACCACCCTTGGTTATCCCAAAATGAAATGGCGGGGCTTCTTTAGCCCCTAAAAAACGTTGTTTGTTCATGTTATTTTATAGTATGTTCGGGCCTTAAAAGGTGAGAGCCGCCAATTTCATTTGATGTCGAGAGGTGATAAGAAACACTTTGCTGATTGGTTGGCTCAGATGGACAACAAAATCAAAGCCTCAACATAAAGACAAAAAACAATTCATAAGATCATGTGTAACATGTGTAACATTGAATTCCCAGGGATTGTGCGGAGTCGACACTGCAAATAAAAGGGCAAGACCCAACCCCCACCTCACCCCACCCTGGCCTGAAGCAGGGCCACCTGAATTTCATGTCCCATCAGCCCCCCTTCACCCCATCCACCCACTCTTGGAAGCAACCAAATAGTACCAAATCACCAGGACCACCCAAAGAGTGGGAAAATGCAACAGTAAAATTAGCACCACCAACCCGTTCACCTCTGAATCATGATGCTTTGAGAGTTGGCAACTACCTAGAAAAGCACATAGGAAGACTCCAGCTTATACAAAATAGGGGGGTTGGCTTGGAAGTGCATGTGGCACAACATCTCCCAGGGACTGTGTGGAGTCGACACTGCAAATAAAAGGGCACGAATGCCCGGAACACCTGTCCACGAAGCTTGCCAGTAATTTGCTGTGCAAAGACTTGCAAAGATAGGCCAAGAGAAAAAAAAAACACTGGGTGCATTGTTTGGCTGAGACAGGTGGCTATTCTAGGTACTGTCCTGTTAGATCTCGGGAACTCTCGGGTGATAATAGTACAAAATGCAGGGACCTAACCCCCCTACACGAACACCACCCGAACATGCCCAGAATAAAATGTAGGGACCTGACCCATTATTTTTTTTGTCCTGGCTGAATGCAAGAAGTCTAAGGTCAAACTACCTTTCCAAAATTCAAAAAGGGGCTTGAGCCCCTTGGGCCTTTGAGCTATGCACAGGGGTTGGGACCATTGATATCATTGAATGTTTTGACTAAAAAGGGTATGGCCACCAAAATAATTTAGGGGACCTTACCCGACCTGGTCGGTACAAACGGGGCTAATATAATAATATACATATATATATACTGTATATATATATATATATATTAATACATAGGTATGTGCTGATATATGGATATATATATATATATATATATGCGTGTGTGTGTTTATTTATTGAAATAATATAGACATATATTATATTGTAATGTATGCAGTACTTAATAGTACATATACTAAGTATGTTTATGTTGTTGTTGTTGTTGTTGTTGATGATGATGATGATGTTGATGATGATGATGTTGATGATGATGATGATAATGATGATGATGATGATGTGTGCGGAATATACTGTGGTATATCGCACATATTATGTAATTATAGATGTATATTTACATGCATACGTCCGCTTATGATTTGCTAGATTATTGATTATTGTTATCTTAATATCACTGTTTTGGAGAACCCATTTGTAGCCACACAGATCTTTTTCACATGATTTTCCTATTTGACGATTTGGACGTTTCATTTTGCGTTGGATGTATACATACATCTGACCTTGATGTTCACCAGGGTCCCACGCTTTTTTGACCCGAACCCTACGTAGGATGACCAAATGCTTTGATATCTTTTGTTTGCCATTTTTGGGTATTGCTGGTATCACCCTTCAATGGTTGATTGCGGGCCCCCCGAAGAGTGACACACCCATTCCATTCCAATCAAAAGTGGCACCGCTCATACTAATCAACAAAGGGTTCATGAAGCTCAAGTCGTATAGTTCTTTACCTTCCTTGGATCTGGAATGTCTTGGTCCCAATGGCTTGCATTCCACTTCGGAGTCCCAAAACCAGGAGGATTTTAATGATGCCTCGTGGCAATCCTTCGCAGACATACCAAGAAGCCTTAGCCAGGCTGGGTTTCGCTCAAGAGTGGGGTGCCATTTTGGTCACACCAAGTTGGCCAATTTGTTTGATATTGCCATATTACCATGTGGGTATTTGACATAGCTATGAAAAAATGCCCGTTTACATGTGATTTACGTAAAAACAAAGATTTTCTATCTATGAGATCGTATTTAGATTTTGCCCTTATGACTGAGCGCATGTTGGTTGATTTTTGGGGTGCAGCCACTGAGCCACTCAGCCACTCTGGTGTGGCTGGAGCAGCCGCTCAGCCACTCTCAAAGTAGAGTGGCTGAGTGGCAAAGTGACTGGACTGTGATGTACCTATAGGTTTGGGGTTAGAGGGGTGGGGCCGGGGTGGGGGTTGTATCTGAGTGGGTGAGTAGCTGAGTGATGGTGCAGCCACTCTCCCAGAGTGGCTGAGTGGCTTGGATTTCTCGTACCGTGCTCCTCATCCACTCTAGATTTTGTTGAGCCAATCATTTTCTTGGATGTTTTGTGCCCGCTATTGTATCGTCAAATGGGCCGACAAATATTAAAGATCCAATCTTAAAAAAAAAAAGACGGGTTTTCTGGGGCAGTATTTCTCCGGAAAAATCTCCAGTTGGTCTTTCCTATGGGGATGGAACATCTGGCTGTACCATGGCCATACAATCTCTCGGAATCAAACATTGGTAACCGAAAATAGCCCGGTTGTAGATGATTTCCTCCTTTGAATGCACATTTATAGTGGATTTCCCAACCTCCGTTATTAACAGGTACTGTAATTAATCAACATTATATAATCTCCATCAATCATTCATTCTCAACCAGTAATTAGTCACCACTGTTGACCATTCATCAACCATTTATTTATACCTATGGTTTCAGCCAATTGAGGTTATCTAAAACCATGCTCTCGAGTCCTCCCCCAAACTCTCCTCCCAAATGAGGCCAGTGTCATGAGCGACATGAGCTTTGCTGTCGGCCCAAGTCCCAGCGGTGACATGATGAAGGACTCTGTCATCTCCATTCTTAGGGGAGTTTCATGGAGTTTCCTCTTTGCAAATTGGAGGAAAAATGCAACACATGTTTGATCACCGTTTGATTTTTGCCGTAGGGATATTTTTTTCATCCATGTTTCTCAGCGTTGCTGGTCCCAAAGGAAACAAGTATATATATAACATAATTATATAGTACAATGTTAGGAAACAATCAAATATATGGGCCAGAAGAGCATTTGAACAGCTTACCCTGCTGCCTGGCGAGAACGACACATCCATCCCAGTGGTCGCTCAGTCAAATTCATCTCCTGGAGATGTCAGACGTACAGATGGCAGATTTTGGCCACTTGGATTTGTACTGTATATTTTTGTGCATTCCTAGAGGCCATAGCATCCATAGCATCTCACTTAGAGGATCATATCATTTGAGACTGTCATTGGTAGAATTATGCCAGAAAGGTACCATGACCAAGGTTGTCACTTGAGGGCTGCAATCCAGGTACTCGTACAGTACGTCATTGCTGATAGATGGTTCGCGATTTTTAGTCAGCCCGTAAACAAATTGCAGATGTTCCCTGTATTTGTTTCCATAAACGCACTCCATACAAACTTTAGATCATTGGCTTCCCATGATATCCCCAACCAATGATACTGATCTCCCACCAATCCCCCGGGGGGTCAACCCATAGCTATGCAGGACCTGCTGCATTCAGACCTATCACCCACTGATGGACCCGCAAGACGACGATCTTCGAGGCGGTGAGAAACCATGAAGTGGTGCCCCAGTCTGTTAGTTCTGTATAAGAAGTATATAGGGTGCGGTGTATGTTATGGTGTCCTTGGACGGAAACGGCCTCGCTTGTGCCCGTGGATTTGTCTCGCTTGTGCCCGGGTAGCCCCTTTCCACTCGAGCTACTGTCCCCTAAAAGTAGACCCCAAATCGTTGTTTTTCAATGTCCCTGTTGCCTGTGTGCATTATGTTGCTGCATGCCCTCATGTCCCTCCCTAATCCTCCCTGGTTCCCAAGTCTCCCCCCATGTCGCCTAAAAGTAGACCCTAAATGTTGTTGCTTTCCACATACAAGGTATGTTCAGGTCAATCTGGGCGCAAATGAGTAGTTTCTATGGGCGCAAGTGAGGCTGGTCCTCCTTGGACTATGGTGATTATATATAGATGATCATAATATATTATAACTATGGTTGGATGATGGTTGGATCGCTTGGTTTCACCAACTTATAACTCGGGGGCACCACGACTTTGCACGTAATTGTATATGTTTTCTTGAAATTTCTTGAAGGGCGTTTTTGATGACTATTCATGGCGACAGGAGGGGCACCAATCAACAACTACAAGATCTCTATCGATTGAATGCTGACGCGTGAGATCGCGTGAGCCATTGCCAGTAGTGCGTGGTTACTTGGCATGGACATGTCCCGAAAAGAGTGGGATGATGTTCTGATAGCTGATAGACATTGATAGACTGATAGCACGATTCTATCCGAAATTTGTGGAGCATGAGGATTTTTGTCCTTCGAAATCAAGGCTCCAAGAGCTCGCATTGATCGCTTTCGCTCGCCAGAAACTGGCAGCTGTAGCTACAGCAGCTTGCATTTTTAAGGACCGAGGTGAGCTAAGGCCTCCAGAAGTAGACTATCCTGGGATAGACTAGATCAGATAGGAGACTCCTAGTGAAGCACATGATTTTCATAGCTTGAACCATTTTGGTTGTTGATTTGAACAACACGTGTGTCCATGCAGCTTCGACTTGGTTGTAATACTTCACTTTTCCGGGTTGAAACAGCCAAGCGGCCACATATAATATGGATTCAAAACTCATTGTTACACTATCATCATTGCCATATCAAGCTATATCAAACTTCTGATTTATCCATTGAACCAATCAACCAGATTTTCTTCCACGGTTCGAAAGATATCAAGACATCTTTGAGGCTGCTCAAGTCCTGTCCACCCCGTATGGGGCAGGGATATGGAGATCTCGGCGTCATTTTGCCAGGGCCAAACTGTTCGGTCACTGCAACTTCCATTGCCCGGTCACAGCAGGATAATAGCAGAAGTGTGTTCCCAGCAGTTTTTTTTTGTTGGACCTTTTGTTTCAAAAAATGCATGCTTTGCCTGATATATCCTGATATAGATTTTCACAAGAATCTACCTAGTGCTGCCTGATCGCTCCAGTTGCTTTGTAAATTCGGCCCGTTGCCCCGTCCAGCTACGTCGCGACGTGGTCAGGACCTGGGCAGGACGTGGGCCGAAGCTGTGCCGATGAGTCTCACACAAGAGTTTGTCGGAGACCAGGCCTTGGCGCCACAGGGATAGCTTCAGCCATTGTGACTTATGGGATTTTAATGGGATTTTAATGGGATGTTAAATGGGATTTTAATGGGAACTCAATTTGAACATCAATTCCACAGTTGTTCCGTTTTTTTCACAGATGTTTAAGTACTTGAAGTAAATGGATGCATTCAAACCAAGGATTATTTTTCAACTGCTGCGATTTTGATATGAAGTGATTCCCAAATTCACCTGACTTCCAACTGTGGAAGTTGAGGGCTGTCCTATCATTTTTTTCCCGGACAGCTTCAAGGGTTTGTGCAGCCAAGGGGCATTTTAAGACTGAAAAGGGGCGTGAACTCGATTGGAGCTGACAAACAGCCAGATATGTTATTATGTTTCTGCTGATCTTCGGGATAGGCGAGCTCAGACCCGAATGATGGATGATGACGGGTATTTGCCATAGTCTTTCTTCAGTGAGAAATCCAATGAGCTCGAATCACCTTCAACCCCGAGGGAATCCAACCAACGGAATGCCCAAAAGGAACTCTGTTTCCACACCACCGGCAAAATTTCGGATCGCAAAAGAAAACTGGAGTTGAACTGATATGAATTCATATCAGTTCATACGTGTCATACGTGTGATCCGACCATAGCACATCCCAGACTTGTCCCCTTGAGCGGCTAGCTGCGGCTAGCTGAGGGTCCTGGGGCATTGGACCCACTCTGAAAGATGTGCGATAGACCCAGCAGCAAAACTATATTGATATGATAAAACCAGACATTTTCGGAATGGTGTCCAACACAGACACACACACATACATACACACATATATATATATATATTTATAGATATGATATACATAGTAGAGTCTTAAATTGATATGAAGTATATATGCACAAATGGTCACTTGAGTCGGTTGAGGACGGTTTATCTATTGGGTTTATCACAGCCGATGCACACTGATGACGGCCTGCGAGGAGCTTTTTTTTTGAGGCCTTGGTGATTGGCTTGTTTGCCATGGAACGCATGCATTCCAAGGGCCTCATCGACGCAAACTTTGACAGTCATCCAGCACTGAAAATATGGAGTGGCGGCAGCATGTTTATATTGATGCTGCGCAGGTTGCAGACAGGTGAAGGATAAGTGCAGTATGAAAGAGATCAGACGGGGCTTGATTTTGATTTGAGGCTTAAGATTTAAGTGTTTGCTGTTTACCCCTTTTGGATTGTTGTGAGACAAGCGTTTGCCTTCCGATCTTCCCTGCGGCCATTCTTGTTCACTAGAGGATATGCATCCATGGCCGCATATATCTCATATATCATGTTATATCCTAATGTTTTCTCATGATACGTATCCCATTCCATTTTTGTCAGTTCTACCCCCTTTAAGAAACCATTTCATGATATGTTAGGGATCTTGAATGGGTGATTGGCTTATAATGGAGCCCTGGAATCATTCCCAATCATTCAGTCCCCCTTGGTTTTCTACGATGAGATTGTTGATGTTTATGTTGATACTATTTGCAACGTTTTTTTTTAATGTTTTTTTTTGGTACTGTATAATTCTGACTTGATCCTGGGAGAACTTTTTTTTTTGACAATTTATTACCGACCTTTAGGGACTTGCATCTATATATTTGTATGATTTCCCTGGACACAGATGGCCAGTGGGAGCCATGACTCCTATATTTCCGCAGGAGATCATGGATGTCGATCGTTACAAACGGCCTGGCGTGATGTCGCCGGTGAAGCTGCATCGATCCTCGGCCAAGATGGCAGTGGTGACCAGTGGTCTGACGTCTTATGACAGGTCTGATAGGTTCAATGTTTACTCATTGTTTTATCATGCTTCACTATGGTTTACTCATGAGTTGGATGTTTAAGATTTCATACTCTCTCATGCCCACACACATATATATATATAATTATAGATATACATATGTATATATAAATACATATATTATTAGATATATAACATTTAGGTCGTCATTGTATTTAAGTTGCCACAGACGTAGTTTACTGGTTGGTGAACAGCTTGGTCTTTGCACCTGGCCCCACGTTTTAACCCTTCTCCCAGGTGCGGGAGGCACTTCTGCGGTGCCGATGCTTGGCTCCACATTGGGAATGGTAATCATACCACCTATGAAAATCGTGATGCATGGGGGGATAGTTTATGTTTTTTTACCCAGATTATATCCAACATCATATGACATACGGGAAATTTATAATTTATATTATCTTATATTGATATACGTGTATATTTATATATACACATACATAACTCGTGTATTTTTTTGGAGATACCAATCACATATATATGAGTGTTATCATATGATGTTTATTGATGGTCATCATATAACATCCAACATATATAATTATATATATTATATATATACACATGTCGGCAACTAATGAATGGTGTTAACATCCAACCTTAAATAACTGTTGAAACAGAAATGTTAACCACAATTTATAGAAACATGTTAGCCTTAACTTAGATAAATGGGGATCAATATATGGAAGTATGTGTTAGCCCTTGTGAAGCTACCAAACACCTAGGAACCCAGATGCTAGTTAAGTAAATATGTGCGGACGCTTTAGTATTTAATATTTTGCGATCTTTGTATGTACGAACCAGCTTAAAACAAAATGCAGGGCGGGATTCCAAGATGTCCCATTTTTATCCATTTTTCAGAAACAATATTGACTGATGGATGTCGAACTTCTTCATGGTTTGGCCAACACATCGACCACTGTCACATGCGGACAAGTATAACCGATGCGTCAACATTGTTTGCAGCCTGTTTTTTGTTAATATCTAAGATAGAGTAAATTGGAACAAATCAAGGATGATGTCCCCCCAAGTTCTTGGGAGAACCATCAGTATCTATTCGGCATGGCGTTTGTTGAATGTTGTTTGGCAGGACTTGAGCCGTCCATTGCTGGAAAGGCAAAGCCAACCTGTTTCTGGAACTCCTTCGATAGATTTTTTCATGGTGAGAAGAATCAGAAGAAGTGGTTTTAGCTGCTTGAAAATACAACGAAACATTCGACTCAAGACATAATTTCCACCAGGAGGACCTGCGATTTCTGATGCAGCCAGCTAGTTTCGAGCCGAGGCGGTAACTCCGGAGGCGCAGCTTCTGAATCCGGGACAATTTCCATTCCAGCGATTACTGTCTTTGCAGAATCCTCTCATGTCATAGGGTCCAAAAGTTCCAAAATCACAATGGCTTGCACAGCCTCAAGGCCCTGATGAATGTGAACATGCCCTCGAAACTTAGCGAAATGTGGGAGGCTTTGGGTGGATTTTGAGTCCGATTGGGGGTGCCCAGCTTTGCGAAAACAGGGGCCCTCCAGTTTAACTTGGTAATGGAACGATACCATATGTTCCCAAATAATCTGTTTTTCTACATGTGTTTGTTTTTTGTGATTAAGATTGATTACCCCATATCTTTCCATATTTCCCATTGATTAGCCACATGTTGTCCCTGAATTCAACAGTTTCGCTGATTTCTGCGTCCCTATTTCTCCACCTGCCAGGTGAGGGTCTCAACTGCGAGCGCCGGATGTCAGTGGGCACTGCCGGACCGCAACCATATAGAATGCCAAACCTTAGAACGTCAGACAGACCGCCAGATGGAATGTCAGAGCATATGTCAGATAGAATGCCAGAAAGGCTGCCAGATAGAATGTTGGAAGATACGTTATATAGATAGAATATGATAGAATGTCACTGGGTGTGATCACTCGAAGAAAATATTTTTTTTTCATATTTTCTATTTTCAATAGATGATCAATTAACACTGCATCTCATAATTGCATGGATAGAATTACGTTCCATATTTTGCATGGATGATTATCACATATTTTCCATAATTTCCATAGAAAATTATCCTGTATTTTCTGTATTCCTTTAGGTGACTATCCCTATTTCCCCCACCATATTTCCCAATTCCTTCCATAGATGATTACCCGTTCTTTCCCCATATTTTCCATAGATGACTATCCCATATGTTCAATGTGTTCCGTGGATGATTGTACCATATGTTCGAATATTTTCAGATTATCCCCTATTTCCAATATTTTCCATAGATGCTCATCCTATATTTGTCCATATTTTGGATGATTACCCAATCCTTTGCCATGAAAAATAACCAATGGGTATTATGGGTATAGGAGAAAAAAAGGCCTATGGTATATGTATAGTATTCATATGTCTTCACCATCTAATGATTGGGGTACCTAATTTTGATACCCATGTCATATGCCCATAACCCCCGGTTTTTCACGTTCTGCAAGGATCGATTGTGATGGGATGATCAATTCAGCATCCGCTCAGAGTGATGCCTCGCAATGGCAGCAGCTGGATTTCATGGCTCCGGTGGAGGGACTCGGAGCGATCAACTGGTATCGAATGTGTTAAACCCTGGCTGCCATACCAAACTTGGCCTTGGGGATGGTTGGAATCCCACCCAAAAAAAGATGGTGATGACTTGGGGATTTTTTTTTCATCGGGTTTCCCACACTATTCCCTTTGAATTGGTGGGCCAGTTGGATCTACGAATTGAGTGTCTGAGTCTCAGCCACATGATAGTAAATCACTAAAAGATAGTGGTAAAGATGGTAATTAGTACGTTGTGGTAAATTACTGTTCTATCTTTTGGAGGGTACTAAACAGCTTGAAAGTGCGGGTTCAAAGCATACCAATAAGGGGTTTGGTTGAGGATGGTCCGAAGTGAAACCTCTCCAGGAGAAAGATCATGGTGGATAGCACGCCCATGTCGAATGAATCCGACTATCAATCATGAACATCCGAGGCTCCAGTCATGTGGCAGTTGAAATTATTTTTTGACCACTCTGTATGCATATATATATATATTATATTATATGTATATGTGTATATGTGTATATTATATAATTTCATGTATATGTATATATTATATGTTTTTTGTTTCCCATATTTGGAGAGGTCGAAATAAAACATCTTCACAGTTGGTGGTTGGTTCCCTAGATTTTTCCAAGCATTTTTACCATGTTTCATCCATCTGAGGCAGGATTGGTTTGTTTACAAAAACTTCTTCCGCGGCTCCAGCTTAGATGTGGCTGGCACCTTGGCCTTGATTCCGATGGAGCATTCCGGGTACATAGTAGCTTAGGCTTAAGCTTAGCACACGACAGTTGGGTGGACTTTTAAGGAACCTCGTAACATCGGGGTTTCCTAACATGGGGGTACCCCACTATGGATGGTTTATCAAGGAAAATCCTTTCAAAGTGGATGATTTGGGGATACCACTATTTTAGGAAACCCCCACATGTTCATCATGGTCATGTTGGATTGAACTTCCCACCTCAGCTCGTCAACGACTCTCTTTTGCGCGAGCGAAGGCCCATGTGCACATGTGCACAGACGCCCTGTACCGATTGGCCGATATTGGCCGGTTGATGAAAAATCAGGGGCAACCCCCATGTTCAGGGTCAATTCTGGGTAAGTTTGATGTTTCACTCCAGACTGCCAAGGTGCAGCCTCTGGTGATCGGCAGGGGGTGTGCCTTGGAATCAACCCATAGCCTCGGGTTTGCCAGTTACTGTACCAGTAATTTGACGTAATTTGACATAGTTGTGGAACATAGTCCATGGACACATGGACTTTTTATAAATTGCATATATTTTGCATATATTTGCCGATTTAACATTGTGAGTGTCCATAGCTATGTCAAATTACCAGAGGGTAAATATAGGTTATTCCTTTGCCGGCAGCTCCACACCGGCCGAGACTGCGATGACGATTCACCAAGGTTTGTGGATGTGGGGGCTTTCCATCCGATCCACCTCTCCAATACCTACTTCTTTGAACGATGTCTTGGCTGGCGTTGCCTGGCGAAACTGGGGTTAACTGGATGATTTATGATTATTTATATTGTGAACCCTGCTGTGGGTGGACAAATCTCATGAGTGACTGGTACTTCACAAATCATTGGCCAACACCATGAAGATTTGAAATCAGCCATCAACGGTGCTGGGATGACAGATTCCAAATTGGGCTCAGACATCACTGGCAGAGGGCAGGAAATGATGCGCTCCGTTGCCAAGGCGGGCTGTGTGTTGAGCCAAATCCTTCGATGCACAAATACTTTGAGGCATACAGGCCCGATGGAAGTGGTGCCGACCATCGGTCATCGGATAATCCATTGCATTTGCACCCCTGGAACTTCACATGGAACCCCAAAATGGCTCATTTTTCGGGCGCCCACGGTGGTTCGCAACCGCTGCCAACCTTTATCAGCTGATTCAGCTGGTTTTTTCCATATTTTGCCTTGCTGATAGGAGAAAAAAAACATAGCTATTGTTGATGATTGCTCTCCGAACAATGTGCGGGCTACCACCATATTCTTTGCAGGGATAAGCGAATAAGTTATGGTGCCAGAGGTGACGGGATTTGTGTCGGGATCAGAATCCAATATTGGACACATTTGGTTGTTCATAATTGAGGATGATTCATCCAAGTAAATCCAGAAGTTGGTTACTTAATTAGTATGGGTTGAACATGGTTGAACAAGCTGGAATATACCAGCCAAGATCCGACATTCACTCGCTACATTGCCACGCTGTTGCCATCTGTTGGCAGGCCTTCCTGTGAGCTGGTGAAGAACTGCCACTTGTCAGAACATGCCAACTTTCGATATTCATCAAATTTCAGTCGCCATCATATACCCATCAGATGGCTGGATGCTGGATATAGTATCAGATTTGGGCGACTGTTTGGGACAAAGTTTCCCTCAATCGATTTCCTCTGGACACGGAGGTCCGCTTGATTCAGGCGTTTCCTGGTCCCTAAAGAAACATGATCACAACATTTGTGCAGGCGTGTGGAGCCATCCGCGACGGGTGGTGATGTCCTTCCAGAAAGATCCCATCGAGGACCGGCTGGATGTTGGATCCTGCCGGCTGAGCTCCTTAGTGGTGAGGGATGGTGAGGTTTACCCTCTGGTCATTTGACTGTGAGATACAAAGGTACATCATCAGAATGGATCAGAATGGGCCATTTTCCATATGTTGAATTGCCGTTGTGGTTAGGGCCATTTAGTGAGGCATGTGGTATTATTGAAGTGGGGATCGGCTACAGCTAACTAAAGCACAAATGACCGTTTAGATCTGTAAAGCCTCGGAAGAGGCCTACATCCGTGAAGATGAAACTCACGATGGCTCACAAACGGACTCCTCTGGTTCCAGTACCTTTGCGGCATCCAAGAAGTTTTGAAGCTCACTTGGACAAGACACAACGGAAACATATGATAGGGGCAAACCTCTTAATTATACCATAATCAGTACTCAGTCCATAATCCATTTATATACATCCATTTGCCAGTTTGATCCAAACAACCATAGCTACGAAGTTTTGGTTATCATTGGGTTTACCACGTGCCACATTCTCCCGCAGAACGACCGGTCTTAGGTGGTGCGGTGAAGATCACCGGTGGAGGCTCACGACCTGAGTTTGTGGCGGAGCCTTTGGCTGGAAAGTCTGGTTATTGATATGATATGATTATATAAAGGAATTATGAAGGGATGTGATGTATTATGGCAATATTACAGGGATATTATAGTGATCGTGATGATTTTTATTCTTATACTGTGATATCTTATTTTAGGATTTAATGTATAAATCTAAGTCTTATTGTGGCAATTTGTATGGGATGGATGACCAAAAACCATATACCAACATATACCAGTTTCATGACCATCGCACATATATAAGGGCTTAGGGTATCACAAAAATCACTGGTTAGTCATCATCTCCCCGAAGAAAAATCACCGTGGGGATAGAGCCCATTTGCCCATTTTCAGGCATAGTCGTAATTGGATGAAATGGACATATTGATTGATCATGATTGATCAATCTTGAATTATCAGCAAAAAAAACCAGGTGATTGACAATCGGATCGTGAAAGATCCCATCAAGAGGCTGTCCAACATAAGGGCCCCATTTCGTGCCCCAACTTACTGTAAAAAGTTGGTTTAAGGAGCCAACTTCAGATGTTCACCATTTATTTCCAACACTCAAGCCAATTATATATATATACATGATTATATGTATATATATATGTATATCAGTATATATATACACATAATTATATATACACATAATTATATATATATATGTGTGTGTATCAGTATATATAGCATTTTAACCAACTTGACTTGGCCGTAACAAGGAAGCACCCGGAACAAGTCCGCAGTCCCTGAGGAATGTCGCACCCTGAAGGACATCTTGGCATCTCAGGGCCTGGGTCGACCGAAGCTGGTGGATTTCCTGTCGGTGGATGCGGAGGCAGCAGAGGCCGGCCACGGCAATGCAACCCCTGGAAGAGTGGGAGAGTTATTGGATAATCTAAGAATATATAGATGATGATATATACAGATGATGATAGGCAGATGATAGACAGATGATAGATAATGATAGATAATGATAGATAATGATAGATGATGATATACAGATGATGATAAATGATGATAGAGAATGATAGATAATGTGGATCTGTTCGGTTTCTGTGACCTTGAAACTTTGCATCGCCGAGAAAGCCAAGCCAAAGAGTATCACAGTTTGCCGGTGACAGCATCGCGCAAAGGCGACAGACATGACAGGTTGGAAACTTAAGTCGTTCTAAGACTCTAAGACCCTACTTTCCAATTTAATGTGATCCCCCCTAGACTATAAAGATCTATAAAGTCAATAGATCTATACTGCAACAACCCCCAGTGGGCAACGATACGCAGGTGGAGATTTTCCGTGATTTCCCGTTTGATGAGTTTGACATCCAGGTGATCAATGTGGAAGCCAAATGCTCAGCATGTGAAGACCATTAAGTACTGGAGGTCTTCAGTGTCAGCTTAGATTTTGTCCAGCAATCCGCAGTGGTAGTCGATGGTGCTTTCAAGAAAATTCACCTGTTTCCATTGTTTTCCCATCCCTTTTCTCCGCGTCGTCGAACGCCTTCAGACCCAGAGATCAACACGGGCGACGTGTTTCTGCCAAGTCACAACTGCCATCCAGCCTTGAGGTTCAAGCCAAGAACTACTATGACTTGGACAACATCATTCTGACTCCCGGCATTTGCCGCGTTAGCCTCCAAACATCTTATTATGGATCTCATGAAATCTCACAATTTTTTGTCAAACAAAAATGGTTGGGACTGGAAGATTGGAAGGTGTTATTTTTTCACGAAAACAACGTAAGGGACATGAACCTGTTTGGGTTCTATGCCTTGGATTGGTACACAAATAGGTTGTGAAATGCTCATTATTGGCGGATAACAGTTAAGAGCAGACCCTTTGCCAGACGTGCTAATCCTGAAGAGAGTTGAGGTGGAACCACCCAGATTTTGATGAAAATCGAAGGGGGCCTCGTTTTCCATGTTTTCCAGGTTCCACATCAAAGTTTTCTGGGTACAGGTGCCTTTATTACGGTTTCGGAAATCAAGGCCAGATATTAGGTCCCTTTTGCTCTCCTTTTGGTTGTCCCTTCCTTGTACTCTTAATTAGCATACTTTCGTTCTCTTTTAACATCTTTTATAGGGGTTCACGGTAAGATGGCACACCAAAACCAGGTGCACTAAGATGGCAACAGGCACTTTTTTTTCAAAAAAATCGCAGGGGTCAAAGAGGTCGACCCGCGTGGCCAAAGATGGCACACTGCTATAAACACCATTGAGGCAGTTGTGTGCCATCTTAGCCGCCTATACTAGACCAAGCGCATAAAAGCAAAAATGCATATAAATATGAATATAAATATGAATATATATATATAGACAGATTTTATTTAGGTACGGTTCAAACTTTCCTTTTCCTTTCCTTTCCTTTCCTCTTCCTCTTCCTTTCCTCTTCCTCTTCCTTTCCTCTTCCTTCCTTACCTCTTCCATTCCTGTTCCTTTCATCTTTCTTTCGTTTTCCTTTCATTTTCCTTTCCTTTCCTGTCATTGAATTATATATTCAAAACAACCCAGGAAAATAAAGAAGAGTAAAGATGGCACACGGCCAAAGAACCGCCCAGAAAATTGCAATATCTGCGCACAGAGGTTCGGGTCATTGAATTATATATACATTCAAAGCAAAAAAAGAAAAGGTGAAACGTTTCTGGGTCGCGAGATTTTTATAAACACCACTTGTGGGGGGCTGCCACGGAACACTAAGACGGCACATCCAAGCACGTTGATTCCGAAAAAATGAAGCGCAGCGCCTCAAAACCACCTTTTTCACATATGACGCAGACGCAATAAGAGATTGAGCACTTTTGGGCGGCCTGATTTTCCGATCTTTTTGCCACATTTTGCACAATCATGCAAAAACAATCAAAAAACAGTTTTGGATAATTCTTGGGGGATTGCCTCGGAGAAGGATGAAAAATAGGGAAAACCAATGAAGAATATAACAATCCACAATGAAAATAGAATAATAGGGTCGGCTGGCTCAAGGACTTCGACCTAACAACGGCTGGCTCAAGGACTTCGACCCAACGACCCAACGGGGACCGCACTAGGGAAGCACAACGGGGAAACAAACCGTGAAACAACAGGGAGAAACGAGGAAAGAAAAAATGAGAAAAGTAATCAGGTGCATGTCAACATATACATGGAACTTTCCACACAAGACAGGTGCATACATCTTGCAAATTGGGGCACACTAAGATGGCACACCCCTCTCCAGACCATTCAATCGGGGAAGACTATGCAAAAATGAAGGCAGAACCATGCAAAATTGTAGAAAACACATTGGGGGACTCCAGGACCCACGAAAAAACCATGAAAAATGAAGCAGCGCAAGCCAAAAGTGAAGGTCAACATATACATGGAACTTTCCACACAAGACAGGTGCATACATCTTGCAAATTGGGGCACACTAAGATGGCACAACCCTCTCCAGACCATTCAATCGGGGAAGACTATGCAAAAATGCAGGCAGAACCATGCAAAATTGTAGAAAACACATTGGGGGACTCCAGGACCCACGAAAAAACAATGAAAAATGAAGCAGCGCAAGCCAAAAGTGAAGGTCAACATATACATGGAACTTTCCACACAAGACAGGTGCATACATCTTGCAAATGGGGGCACACTAAGATGGCACACCCCTCTCCAGACCATTCAATCGGGGAAGACTATGCAAAAATGAAGGCAGAACGATGCAAAATTGTAGAAAACACATTGGGGGACTCCAGGACCCACGAAAAAACCATGAAACATGAAGCAGCGCAAGCCAAAAGTGAAGGTCAACATATACATGGAACTTTCCACACAAGACAGGTGCATACATCTTGCAAATGGGGGCACACTAAGATGGCACACCCCTCTCCAGACCACTCAATCGGGGAAGACTATGCAAAAATGAAGGCAGAACCATGCAAAATTGTAGAAAACACATTGGGGGACTCCAGGACCCACGAAAAAACCATGAAAAATGAAGCAGCGCAAGCCAAAAGTGAAGGTCAACATATACATGGAACTTTCCACACAAGACAGGTGCATATTTAAGGGCTGCCGCCCCTGCCGCCGACCCCGGAAGAATGGTCAATGAATGAAACCTAATTGGCATCAATATTCTTCGGTGCTTCGCACTTTTAGGTTTTCCCCTTTTTCATATATTTTTATGCAATATATTTGATAAAATATTTTGATATAGTAAGAAAACCCACCCACCAAACCCCTTCACCCCCCTGAGCAGTTCCTCGACGACTTCAACCAGAATGTGGGTCTTGAGCTCGTGAAATTATTCATTTTATTAAGTAAATAAACCTTCCCATTTATCCCCCCTTTTTGTGGCAAGGTGCTGTGCTGTTCCGTGGCAAGGCGCAGAAACGAAATAAAATACACAGGTATTATGTCCGGTACTAATGGTGCTGCAAATCTCCAAAACGCATTCTTCGCCACACCGAAACAACATGCTACTGAAGGACGGAACGACCTCCAAAAACATGCTGCCCCGGGGCTTGACGTCCCTTCTGGATTCTAGTAAAAACAAAGCGAGTTCAGCTGCTGGGCCTGCTGGGCCTGCTGGGCCTGCTGGGCCTGCTGCTGCTGCTGCTGCTGCTGGTGCTGCTACTAGAGGTGGTGCTGCAAGCCTCCAAAACGCACCCTTCGCCACACCGAAACACCATGCTACTGAAGGACGGAACGACCTCCAAAAACATGCTGCCCCGGGGCTTGACGTCCCTTCTGGATTCTGGAAAAAAAAAAGAGATTGCAGCTGCTGGGCCTGCTGCTGCTGCTGCTGCTGGTGCTGCTGGAGCTGGTGCTGCAAGCCTCCAAAACGCACCCTTCGCCACACCGAAACACCATGCTACTGAAGGACGGAACGACCTCCAAAAACATGTTGTTCCGGGGCTTGACGTCCCTTCTGGACTCTGGTAAAAACAAAGCGATTGCAGCTGCTGCTACTGCTGCTGCTGCTCCTGCTGCATGCTGCCGGTGGTGCTGCTGGAGGTGATGCTGCAAGCCTCCAAAACGCACCCTTCGCCACACCGAAACACCATGCTACTGAAGGACGGAACGACCTCCAAAAACATGCTGCCCCCGGGGCTTGACGTCCCTTCTGATTCTAGTAAAAACACAGCGAGTTCAGCTGCTGGGCTTGCTGGGCCTGCTGGGCCTGCTGCTGCTGCTGCTGCTGCTGCTGCTCCCGCTGCATGCTGCTAGTGGTGCTGCTGGAGGTGGTGCTGCAAGCTTCCAAAACGCACCCTTCGCCACACCGAAACACCATGCTACTGAAGGACCCCATTTGCGTCGCGTGCTGTGACTCGTTGTATCGTCATGGACAGAAGCCGGCAGAGGCGCTGACAAATGATATGTTGCTCGGCTACCCGCCGCGCGACCTTTACGCGCTGCAATGTGCGGTCTTAGAAGTTTTGAGTGCGAGTCCGTGTTTGACAGCGTTGACATGCTTCAGCATTGAATGGCGGTACCTGTCGGACCGCAGCTTGGCGCAAGATGCCTTTATGAACCGCCACCGCCTATGCGCGAAAGGAAATGCCACGACCTTTCCGCTGCAATGGGAAGATCTTTTGTCCGAACTCGAAAGGTTGAATCCTACCGCGGGCGCGGCCGCAACGTGCCGTCTGCCACATGTCGGAGACGAATTGCGCGACAAGATTGCTGTCCTTATCAAGGTTGGAAACAAGCAAGAAGGAGCAACCGTGCCGCAAAGAATTATTCACCAAGCTGTGGTTCGGCGTCTCGTGGTGGTCGGTTTGATCGCAGCCATGGTGTCACGCGGCCACCCGGCATACAAAGGTGTCGACATGGATGCCGTGACACTACGGGCCGAGCAGTTGCCAGAAGACGGTGTACCGGCCGAAATTGTCGCCTTGTTCGCGAATGATGGCACTTTGGCGCAAGTGCAACGCCAGAAAGCAGCAAC